CTTCGCCTGCAATTTACTCTCTTCTATGCTCGGTGACCCCCATTTTTTCCTTCCATAAATCAACTCCTTTTCGATTTTATCCATTTTAACAACAACAACAACAACAACAACAACAACAACAACAAAAGAAAACAGGAAAAATGTGTCCATGAGAAATTACAAATATTTCGCTTTTGCGGCTCTCGTGCGAGCGAAGGTTTCTTCGAATGTGGACGGGCAACGCTACTATTTACACTTCTTTTATGCCTATTCTACCTCAAGAAACGACATCAGCTCCAACAGTTTACTTAATATACTTAGTTGTGTTGAGTTGAGTACGTTTACCTGATCTAAATTTCTCTAATGTAGCTTTTCTATGGCTGATAGTTGTAAGCTAATATTGCCGGTGTTACAATAATGAAAACCTCTAAAACTCATGGTCTTTAACGTTCCTTATCCCGAAAACAAGTACGGTGATCCCCAACAATTTTTATTTTTGTGGACGGTAGGCCTAATCGTAGAAATAAAGCTGCGTTTTCAAATTTCTCCGGCGTAGTGTGGTCATTGTCCAAAGTGCGAGACGTAGATCTCTCCCGAACATGTTTAAACACATTTAAACTCCAGTTTAGAAAATCATAGTAGATAATAATAGCAAGAAATCCTATAGGTTCAGCTACCTCTGCGTAATCTGTTAAGTTTCTGCGTTTCCGCACAACTCTAGCTGTACTTCAAAATTCATAAATCCGAGCCAAAGCCCTAAATTCTCCCTCTATTCCTCTTTTAGACTAACACACAAGTCAAGCTGCGAAAGCCGAACTCAGAGCGAGAAACATGCCTGCAACGCTCAAAACTCGAGTGTGAAGAGCGCAAGGTAGAGAAACCTACACCTAGAAAGTCTGTTCAGTTATTTTCTTGCGGGTGAGCCATTCCTGGAACGATGATTTGTCATCAGAGACTATGTTTCATTAAACTATTCAATAATATCTATTCACTCACGTGATTCGTATGCATCAGCTTCTCCTATATTTTTGTCTCCGCTACTGGTGCCCAGTTCCCCCTCTTCATCCACAAATTCGTCAACAGGCAATTGAGAGGTTCTCACATGTACATGCTGCTGATTCTGTGAATGAGAAACATAGAAACTGCTGCATTTATTTTGGGTTGCCAGAGAACTCAAATGTTTTGGACCAATTTGAAAGTATGGCTACAGTCTTGCCAAGTCATTGCAAAAGAGGGACCCTTAAAGCCAGATACAGCGCTGGGTCTAAGGCCAGAAAGCTCTAAACATAAACTTCAAGTTGACCTCTGCTGCTTACTTAAATACCAAAAATTATATTTGTTTACATAGACAGAAAAACCGTTCTCCAAAACTAAACAATCTCTTACTGTATTTAAAACACATTTATGAAACAGAAAATAATACAACTACAATCGCTTTAAAGAAGTGGGAGCGTCTGCTGCCCTTTTCGTAATATCTTGAAAACTTGATCCTAGTTCCCTGCATGAAAACGAAAATGGAAACGAAACGAAAAGACACTAGGCGCTTATATACAGAGGTGTGTATTTGCACCACTTACTGACAGGAGTAAGCTGGTATTTTTTAGTGTATTGCAAGTAAGTATGCTGTAGTATTCTACTTGCTTTGCAAGAATTGATAAGAAGCACAAGTAATTATGTGGTAAGTAGTACAAGTGATCATATTATATTGTAAGTATTGTAAGTATTAGCATTGTAAGTTGCGTGAGTAATTGTACTGTATAACAAGTATTGTAAGTAATGAAAGTAACTACAATAGTATTGTAATTGGTGTAGCCGTATCAGTTAATATAACTAACAAATATTATTATTCAACTTTCATACACTATACGAATTCAGATTTTCTGCTCGGCTGATTTGTACCACGTGATACTGGGTTGTGACGAGACAACCACCTTGACGTCATTATCGTGGTGCAATAGCCGTGGTGTAAATTCAACACACGACTGCCATTACACCATGGCTTCGGCCGACTCAAATATAGTGATTTCAATTCAGTGTTTCTTTGCGCAGTGTGTTCAATTTGAATAATAAAAATGTTAACGCACTCATTGCTCATAAATGATCGAGATTTACCTGTACTCGTCCACTAACAATGAACTCAACACTTTCAATACCGCACGAGGCAAAGCCTCGTGCGGTATTGAAATTTCTCGTTCATTGTTAGTGAACTCGTGCAGGTATATCCCGATAATTTACTCGCTGAGTGCATTAACCTGTAAATATATAATACTAATGCTAACGCTAACGACAACGACAACGACAACGACAACGACAACGACAACGACAACGACAACGACAACGACAACGACAACGACAACGACAACGACAACGACAACGACA